TTAGAGGATAAGAACTTGGTCTCTCATTTGTAATCATTTTGTCTTTCCTCTTGTATTCTCTGATCAAGCAATATAACGAGCCAACCATATATTATTTACATCGTGTGTTCTAAATATGTTCTTACTCTGATTCTATTTCCTTACTCGATTCAATTGTCACTACAAAAGGACCACGCTACTATCGGGTCAAGTACATACCGATTATAGTTATTGGCTTAGACACCTAATCCAACAATGCATTCGGGCTCACTAATGCCCCAACAGCGTGCATAGACCTCATGAACAGGGTGTATAGGCCGATGTTGGATCGGCCTGTGATCGTTTTATCGATGATATCTTAGTTTATTCTAAGACCAAGGAGCAGCACGAGCATCATTTAAGGGAGGTATTGGAGACACTGAGGACGGAAAAGCTTTATGCCAAGTTCTCAAAGTGTGATTTCTGGTTGCGTGAGGTGCAGTTTTTGAGGCACATCATCAACCAAGAGGGTATTCTGGTTGATCCAGCCAAGATTGAGGCAGTGATGCGATGGGAAATACCGAAGAAGGCATTGGAGATCCGCAACTTCTTGGGCCTAGCAGGTTATTACTGGAGATTTATTCAGGATTTCTCCAAGATTGCGGTACCTTTGACTTACTTGACCAAGAAGAATGTGACATTTCGGTGGGGCCCGGATCAGCAGTCGGCTTTCGAGACCTTGATACAGAGACTTGTGAGGCCTCGATTTTAGCACGACCTGAGGGTTTGGATGATTTGGTGGTGTATTATGATGCGTCTATCACATGGTTAGGTGTTGTTTTGATGTAGAGGGGGCATGTGATCGTGTACGCCTCGAGGCAGCTGAAGCCTCATGAGGCGAACTACCCTACTCATGACCTGGAATTGGGGGTGGCGATGTTTGCCCTCAAAATCTGGAGGCATTACTTGTACGAAGTTCGGTGCACCATCTTTACTGACCACAAAAGTTTGAAGTAATTGATGGATCAGCAGAACCTTAACATGCGGCAGAGGAGATGGTTGGATGTACTGAAAGATTACGATTGCAAGATTTTGTACCATCCAGGGAAGGCCAACATGGTGGCTAATGCTTTGAGCCACAAGGTGGCAAGTGCTCCGATCGAGAACGTTTGTTTGAGGATGAAGGTGATTTCTCCATTGTTGGATATGATCGAGGGAGCTCGGGTGGAGGGTTTAAAGCGAGAGAACCGGAAGATAGAGCGGATTCGGGGGTCAAATTCCCTTGTTTGTTCGGGATGGTCAGGGTCTTTTGACATAGTGTGGTCGGGTGTGGGTACCGGTATCTCAGAGAGTGAGTCAAAAGATCTTAAAGGAGGCGCACAGATCCAAGTTCTCGATTCATCCAGGGGCCACGAAGATGTACAGAGATCTGAGGCTGAGTTACTGGTGGCCCTGCATGAAACGGGAGATCACATGGTTTGTGGAGTGGTGCTTGACCTGCAGGAAGATCAAGGCTGAACATCAGAGGCCCCACGGCAAGGTTCAACCACTACCCATTCCCATGTGGAAGTGGGAAGAGATCACTATAGACTTCATCAAGAAGTTATCGAGGACGGCGAGGGGTATGGACTCCATTTGGGTCATTATGGATAGATTGACGAAGAGTGACCATTTTATTCTAATCCCCGAGAGTATTTCTGCTAAGAAATTAGCAGATATCTATATGCGAGAGGTGGTGGTCAGGCACGGAGTGTTAATATCGGTGGTCTCGGACCGCAATGTTCGATTCACCTCCAGATTCTATAGGAATTCCACGAGGAACTGGGCACACAGTTACACTTCAGCACTGCGTACCACCCCCAGAAAGACGAACAGAGCGAGTGGACGATTCAGACGCTCGAGGATATGCTACGGGCATGCATATTGGATTTCGGAGGGCATTGGGATACATACCTCCTACTAGTAGATTTTTCATATAAAAATAGTTATCATGCTAGTATCAACCCACCCCCGTTTGAGATGATGTATGGTTGGAGGTGCAGGATTCTCGTATGTTAGGGGAGCTTAGGCACCGAGTCATGGGAAGCATCGAGGTGGTGCTCATGTCCATCGAATTCATTCAGCAGGCGCGCAACAGGCTGCGGGTGGAGTAGAGCCATCAGAAAAGTTATGTTGATCGACGTCGCTCGGATCTTGAGTTTCAGGTGGGAGACTTCGTTTTGCTAAAAGTGTCAGCATGAAAGGGTGTCATTAGGTTTCGGAAGAGGGAAAAGCAAGGGCCCCAGTTTATTGGCCCGTTCAGGATTTCTGCCCAGGTGGGCAAGGTAGCATATCGATTGGACCTACCGATTGAGCTTAGTCAGATCCACAACACCTTCCACATGTCTCAGCTTCGGAAGTGTGTCGCTGATGAGGCCGCAGTCATTTCCTTGGATGATATTTAGGTTGACGAGAGTCTGAATTATGTGTAGAAACCTATAGCAGTTCTGGATAGGAAAACCAAAGCCCTACGGAACAAGGAAGTGAGGCTCTTTAAGGTGCAATGGCAGCACCGAACAGGCTCCGAATGGACCTAAGAGCCGGAGGATGAAATGAGGAAGCCTTATTTGGACTTTTTTGCATCAGCAAACTTCGAGGACGAAGTCTAGTTCAAGAGGGGGAGATTTATAACGCTTGGTTCAGGTATGAATTAATTCCAATTTTTTAAGTATTGGAAGGAACTCGACGGGTTGGGAGGCTCCAACTCGACGAGTAGGAAGCCTTCCAGCTGCGTAGATCATAAGATCTACTCGATGAGTTGGGGAGCCCCAACTCGACGAGTTGACACTGGAAATGAAAACCCTAATTTTTCTGGCATTGTATCCTATTTAAAGGACTTAACCTCTAGGGTTGGCCTCCTTACCAGCCCCCTTGCCCAGAGAAAACCCTAGAATCGCCGCCCCTCTTGTTCATTGAGTTTTTGTGAGTGTTGAGTGATTGTTTGGGATCTTTGAAGGAGGTTTTGAAGAGAGAAGTATCAAGCATGGAGGAGTGAACTTGGATCCAGAAACTCGACATCAAGGGCTACATCTTTGAGGTATAAAGTCATAACCTTGACATGTAGCTTATTAGATCTCATCTTTTGAAGTATAAGCATGATTTGGGATCTTGGGTTGAGTTGTCCAAAAGAAATAGATTACAGGGGTTGTCAAGCTAGATCTGACCCCTCTATGGTATCTTGAGGCTTAAAGTTGCAAACTTTAATGGCCTATGTGTCCCATTCAAGCAATATGTCCATTAGAAAGCCTAATATAGACCCTAGAGAGTGTTACAAGTATGCATGGACGTAAAGATAGAAACTTCACGTGATTTTTCCACCTTTGGACATCAGATATATGTTTGGAACTTTGGGATGAGAGTTTAAGGGCTTAATGGGTCAAGACCTTCCTTAAAGGAACTAGGGTTTTGGTTTAGAGCTTATTATATGATCCTTGGGGGTAAATTTGGAAACTTTACACTTTTAGGCATCTCTATGGATGGGGATCTGAGGTTTGGAACCTTTGGATTCAAGAAAAAGGGCTTAATGCATTAAGTGGGCTGACAGACTGGAGAACTCGACGAGTTCACAGGAGAACTCGGCGAGTTGGGTTGGGGTTACCCCGATTCTGTTGGAAAATGGAGGAACTCGACGAGTTATAGGAGAACTCGACGAGTTGGATCGCAATATCGCGATTTTGACTTGGGGTGGACTCGACGAGTTAAAGGGTCGAAGGCACCAAGGCTGGCCCATGTTATTTAGTTGGGATGTTTATTGCTTACGTGCTATCAGTGTGTTAGGTATTTATGTGAAGACCATGTGGGGGTTCCCATGGCAGTGGACTAAGACAATGCGGGGGTTCCCATGGCATTCGGTGTAAGACCTTGGAGGGTTTCCATGGCAACCTAGTATGTTTGCATGTTTAGCTTGTATGATATTTCCTTGGTTAGCTAAGGCCATGTGGGGGTTCCCATGGCAGTTAGTGAAGACCGTGTAGGGGTTCTCATGGCAGTTAGTGAAGACCATGTAGGGGTTCCCATGGCAGTTAGTGAAGACCATGTGGGGGTTCCCATGGTAGGGAGTTAAGACCATGTGGGGGTTCCAGTGGCACCCGGTATACGACCTTGGAGGGTTTCCATGGCATCCTTATATGTATATATGCATGGCTTATGTAGCTTATATGGCTGATATGGTTTATGTGATTATGTGGATTGTGTGAGGTGTGTTATGGGGAACTCACTAAGCGTTAGCTTATAGTTTGTTGGTTGTTTCAGGTACTTCAGGATCTAAGGGCAAGAGCCCAGCGTGATGGCGCGTCATGCACTCTCTGGCGTTTTTATTGGGGACACTCTGATATTATGAATAAATTGTCTGATGTTATGGATTTTGAAAACAAATATAATTGGAATTTTATATGATGATGCGCCCCTCAGAGCGGGCCAGAAACAAGAGAACCCCCGGCGAGGAGTTCCTAACGAAGCCCGGGCCGGCGACTCGGCCGCTTTGGCAACCACAGACTCCCAGGAGGCAACCGCGTAGGAAGTCTGCCCTCGCCAAGCGTTGTCCTTTAGCTACCGTCCAAGGATAACTGCTCCAGGCGACAAAGAGCACGACCATAGCATTATCCCCTGGACCAATCGTTGGACCGGACACGAATGTAGAGCAGGGTCCTCCAATAAGGACGGCGGATCCTGTCGGAGTCACAGTCCTTGTCCCTCGTACGGATCGATGAGGATCCTCAGTATAAAAGGTCGGTTACTCTGCCTTGAGAGGTAAGCTATTATCTTCCCCGATCATACACCTCCATACTTCAGATTCATCCCACTAACTTGACCGTCGGAGCGTCTTTTTGGGACCTCCTCCCGGAGAGCGGCTGACGTTTCTTCTTTCGTTGTGACCTCTCAGGTTCTATTCCAACGACCATCGCTCAGTAGCCAAGATGGTTTGGAGCCAGGTCACATCATTTGGCGCCATCCGTTTGTGTGACAATAGATATGCAAACCCCTTTTTCTTTTTCTCTTTCAACCTAACCACGCATGACGAAGAAGACGACGGGTGAGCCATCGGAACCACCGCATAGCCCAATACACCCGATGGCGTCTTTGGAAGCAACCAACATCCCGACAGCGCCATCCTCCGACGGCCCGCCACCATCTCTTGAAGCAGCGCCACCCTCTGGCGGCCCGCCACCATCTCTTGAAGCAGCGCCATCATCCGGTGGCCTGCCACTGTCTCTTGAACCAGCACCATCATCTGGTGGCCTGTCACCACCTCTTGTGGCAGCACCGTCATCTGGTGGTCCGCCACCGTATCCTATGACGACATCGTCACCAGATGACCCGTCACCCTCTATTGCAGCAATCATGCAATCGGTTTTAACCTAGAGTCAAACATCGCCATCCACTCCGACCCACACAACACCCTCACCATTCCCAAATAGCAGTGTGCTTAACCAATACATTGTACCCACTTTGCCGCCATTTTTCCCTAACACCACTAGTTCTAGCAATCCCCAAACAACACCCATAATGCCCTTCGTGAACATCTTACATGCGAACAACACTATAATCGGCCCAAATGTTACACCACAACCGCAGAACCACCCGTCATTGATAGCAGGCACCGCGTCAACATCACCACTCGCGCTTTATCAGCAAATAGCCATAGCCTATGACATCCCCAATTTCAAGGCCAGAAAAGACCGATTTGTTTATGCTTTGTTTTGTAAAATCAGAGTAATCCTTTGATTAAAAGAGTTGCGGAATTTGACCCAAAATAAAATATGATAAAATAAAATTTATCAAAGCATTTCTTAAAGAAATGTATTTTCATTAAATAACAAAATCTCGGGATGTCATGTTCCGATACAGACCAAAAGCATAAACAATATAAAATAGACCTTACAACAGTTATTTATAACTACTGATCTATAATCCAAAATCTCTCATCAAGTCCACCAACTTATACCCTTGTGCCATTACCTGTAATGCAAAGAAAACTGAATGGGTCAGGCTTGGGAGCCTGGTGAGCATATAGGGTTTTCAACCCACAATAATATATTTATTATATTCAATCATCAAACAATCAACCCAATTACCCATCCCCATTATCTTCTTTATTTCTTAAGGTTTTACCCTAAGAATCGACTATCCTTCCTTCATTCATTCCTAAGGATTTACCTAAGGAATTGGCACAAAGTCCATTGCTGCCAAAGTTTATCTATCAGGTACTAAATCCATAGCTATCAGGCGCTAACTCCATAGTCACCAAGGTTCACTTAACAAGCGCTAACTCCATAGTCGCCAAGGTTTACTCAATAAGCACTAACTCCATAGTCGCCAAGGTTTACTCAACATGTGCTAACTCCATAGTCGCCAAGATTTACTTTAACAAGCGCTAACTCCATAGTCACCAAGGTTCACTTAACAGGCACGAAGTCACATTGTCGCCAGAGTTTATCTAAAAGGCACTACGTCTCATAGTCACCTGGGTTTACTCATACCATCTCTCATCACACACCAACTATTCCATCTACCCAACATATTTGTAGATATAAATTACATATATAGTTTAAATCATATACAATCCTATATAAAACATTCATCCAACATCCATCTCAAATAAACAAACAATATATAAACACATAACACGTATTTCATAGCAAATACTTCATATCTATGTGTTAGAAGAAAGTAACTACACACTCACTTGGTTAGACGATGCTCGGACAGCACTACAGCTCTAAGAGTAGTATTCTCCGGTGAAACCGGGATATCTTCACACACCGGGCTTCTTGCAGGCAAAGCTTCGGCTCGGAAACTCTTTTCTTCTTGGGATCTTCGGGCTTCGGGACTTGCTTCGGGCCTCGGGATCATACCGGGGCTTCGGGGGTACTTCTTTGCACGTAAATTGAGGTAATATGGGTGAGAGAATGGTGAATTAGCAACCTTGGCCGGCTGCCCCTTCAAATCTATTTATAGGGCAAATTTCTCATTTTCCACGCCGTGGGCACTTTTTCCACGTCGTGGGCTTGGTCGTCACTGCATGCGTCATCGCAAGTTGGGTCTGGCAGACTCCAGGAGGCGTCAGAAAACATGCCACGTCGTGGGCATTGTTTCCACATCGTGGCCACTGACACGACTTTGGGGTTCGCGCCCCGAACTTCAGAAAGTCATAACGAACTCCGTTTTCGACGTTATTTATATCGACGTGTAGGTGAGAATATTCTCTACAACTCTCGTTTAGACTCCGTTGGCTCAGTTTGACTTTATTTTTAATATATTACTTTTATATTATTTTTAGTAGGTCGGGACAGGAAAACTCCATTAGAAATTCATAACTTCTTCATCCGACGTCCGTTTTCGTCTGTCTTTTTACCGTTGGACTACTATCGACGATATCTTCGATTCTCGTTTAGATTGTTTCAGCTAAAAATCACTCGATCTCATATTCGAGTATTCGGGCTGCATACCGCTAAGTCGAAACTTCGGAAAATCATAACTTCCTCATACGAAGTCAGATTTGAGCGTTCTTTTTATGCACGCTCTCGGTTTAACGTATTCTACGACTTTCATTTAGATCGCTAAGGCCAAATATCGCTCTATCTTAAATTCATATTTTACGTCATTCAGCGTCGTGCCGGTTCTGTCGCGAAACTTCGACAGGTCATAACTTCTTCGTTATAACTCGGATTTCGACGTTCTTTATATGTACGGAATCCTTGTAACATATACTACAACTTAGTTACGATTATTCATTCTAAATAATCTTCTGTCAAAAAGTCATTTTTGACGCTTATCGTCTCTAAATTGACTAGCCCTGATCTACGGGCGTTACATAGCCCAACAACAAATGCCCATGGCCTAACAGCAAATACTCATAGCCCAACAACAAATACCCATGGCCCAACAACAAATATGTGACATCCCCTAATTTCTCGGCCAGAAAAGACCGATTTAATTTATGCTTTTTAAAATAAAATCAAATAAATCTTTTTAAAAGATGTTGCGGAATTGGTCCCCAAAACAAAACATGATAAAAGTTTATCAAAACCTTTCTTTAAGAAATGTATAGTTTCATTTCATATCAAAACCTCGGGATGTCATGTTCCGATACAGATCAAAAGCATAAACAAGACATTATAAGCCTTTCAACAGTTATTTACAACTACTGGCCTATAATCAAAAATCTCTCATCGTCCTCTGACTATGCTCGGGGTCCACTACCTGTAATCATAAAAACTGAGTGGGTCAGGCTTGGGAGCCTGGTGAGCATATAGGGTTTTCAACCCACAATAATAATATACTTATTAAGTTCACCAATCAACAATAACCTTGATTACCCGTTCCCGTTATCCTCACTTTACGTCCCTAAACACTTATCACAAGGGACCTAGCCTAAAGAATATCATCGGGATGGACACTACTGCTAAGGGGTTTCCTCAGCCATACATGTCCTAAAGGCAACCATGAGGGGGATGGAGTACGCCAATGAACATTTAATTCATCAACACCTACAAGTTGCGAACCTGCTAGTGTTCCACTGGACTGTCTAGAAAGGTCCATGGTCGTCATCTATACTCCGCTAGATGACTACAACAACAACAACAACAACATCGAGGCCTATCACCATTTTAACACACATCAACTATTTCATCTACCCATGTTCTACCCAACATATTTTGTAGATAAAATACATATACAGTTTAAAACTTGTATAAAACATTTATTCAACAGTCACCTCAAATAAACACTTAATATAATTACACATAGCACGTATTTTATAGAAAATACTTCATATCTAGGTGTAAGATGAAAGTGACTACACACTCACTTGATTTGATGATAATCGGGCAGCAATTCGTTGCTTAAAACGATCGTTTCTAATAAAACCGGGAGTTTTATTGAGAAATCGGGCTCTACAAAGGTCGGGCTTCGAAACCGAAAAGATAAACTTTCCGGGCTTCTCGGGCACTTCGTGGAGTATTCCGGGGCTTATAATCGATACCGGGGCTTTGGGGGATGCTAAGATGAAGAAAATATGAAGAAAGGGGCTAAATATGGCAAAATTCCAAATCTAACCGGGAAGGCTCGCATACCCCTTGTATTTATAGGGGTCCGAAGTCGGCTTGGTGGTGGGGTCCGCAGGCGAGGGTCCGCAGGTGGCTGCACGTGCGAAGGCCTCGGTGGCAGTTGCTGATTGGACCGCGGTCTACTGGTCCATCTGCGAGGCTCGGAGGCTAGGCGGTGCGAGGCTCGGTTCAGCTGCGAGCTTCAGATTGGGCCTCCCTTCGGTCGAATCAGAATCCGACACGCAGCTACTGTTCATGCGAGGGAAGGCGACACGCGTCGGACTCCTAGTGGACCCCTTCGGATGACTCGGGAGACTTCAGACACGTGGCGCGTTTTGAGCGAGGGTGACGTGGCCGAAGTCCACGCATGCGAGATTTCTCGGTTTTTGTGCAAAAATTTCTAAAATCCATAACTTTCGCATACGAGCTCCGTTTTTTACGTTCTTTATATGCACGCGTAGGTAAAATTACGCTCTACAACTTTCGTTTAGACTTCATCGGCTAATTTTGAATTTAATTTTTATATTATTATTTTTAACAGACCGGGACAGGAAATCCGTTAAAAATTCATAACTTCTTCATCCGACGTCCGTTTTCGTCAGACTTTTTACCGTTGTGCTATTAATGACGAGACCTTCAATTCTTGTTTAGGTTGTGTTGGCTAAAAATCACTCGATCTAAAATTCGAGTTTTTAGCTGTCCACTGCTAAGCTGAAACTTCGAAAAATCATAACTTCCTCATACGAAGTCAGATTTGGGCGTTCTTTTTATCGAACTTCTCGGTTTAACGAATACTACGACTTTCGTTTAGATCACTAAGGATAAAAAGTAGTTTATCAAAAACTTACTTTTTACGACACTCGGCACCGTGCCGGTTTTGTCGCGAAACTTCGACAGGTCATAACTTCTTCGTTATAACTCTGATTTTGGTATTCTTTATATCCCCGTAATCCTTGTTTCGACCACTACAACTTTATGTAAAGATATCGGGCTTATCTCACACTTTAATTTTGACGCTTATTTTTATTCTTAATTAATTAAACCCTAATAATTAATCATAAAACACATAATTCACATAATATTCACATAATTCCTTTTCATTTCTTCAAAATGAGTTACAAAGGTTAACCTAGACTATCACCTCAATATAAATGCATAGGCTAGAAACACGAGTGTTACAAAATACCCATGGCCCAACAGCAAATACCCATGACTCACACCTTCCCTACTCCATTTCAGCCGTCAAACTTCTACGGCTCGGTAACGCCAGACCTCACAGCCTATAACAACATGTT